CCAGGGGTTTTGCTGTAAAGCTGCTGTCACTTCAGGTACCTGTGGCCTTTTCCCAGCAGAATGTGGGATTTACAAATAAAACTGTAACGAGTTATTGCTTTGGACAAATAAGCGCCTTAAAGTGTGTTGATTTGGGGGGACCAAAACCATCCTGTTATCTATAACATGCCAAAATTAAACTCAGTATAGCTGTACTTATTGCCTGTACGTGTATTAGCTTACTTAATGACTCAAAAAAGTAAACATTTGCTTGTAACTTTAAAAATGTTTGAAGAAAAAGCTCACCTGAGCAATACGTGTTAACAATGATTTGTGTTTTTCAGTTATTTTTAAATTTGTGTGTATTTGAAATACGCTGTTGTTGATGTAATGAGCTGGATGTGATTTTATTTTGATGCTTAGTAATTTAAAAACTACATGTACTGGATTGCTTCAATGTATATGGGAGAAAAAGTAAACCTATTTAGAGAGAGAGGGTTTTCTGTGAATGTGTTTAATTTACTATCATAAAGTTGATTTGTAGGTAAAAATTTATAGGTAATCTGTAGGACATTTGTTGACAGAGAGCAGCAAAATGGAAAGCTGCACTGATTTTGAAAATACTGTTGAAATTAATGTTAAACTGTTTAAAAATCTGTGTTCATAGGGAGGCAAGTTACAGTAAATTTAAGTTTGGAAAAGCATTTGATACCCTGTTTTGTTTGGTAGTTTAGGAGTTAGACAGTCTGAAAGGTTGAGACAGTGAACTTTCAGAGCTTGTTGTAGTTATGTGCCACAGCGGTGTTTTCCACGTTTCCAAATTTTGAATAATCTTCAAATGAAGGTACCGTATCTCATATGCAAATTGAGAATTTTGGACTTTATGGTTCCAACAAGGTAATGTTCATAAATAACCTTTTAATTTTTTTTCTTTTATCATTGTCAAAGCATCGTATTTTCAAAGGTTTTAAGATGGGTATATTTCGACTAAAAACTCCCCCTCTGTTTTGTTTTTCCAGAATTCTGGAAGTCAGGTTACTGACAAGAGCTTAGTTCTGCTTTTCCACTGTTGAGATGCCCCAACTTTACATTTGAGGTGGGAGAGAGGAAGATGTATTTTTTCTTTTAGTGTGAAGCAGAGGGACAGCCTGGAAAAGGTTTTTGAAGAAAAGTTATATCCTCTTTCCAACACCCTCATTTTTTTTATTTGGTTTTTTTTTTTTCCCCCCTTTACAAATTCAGGTCTGGCTGGAAGCCTCATCAAATGATGACTGTAGTGCAAGGACCAGAGTCAAAGGCAGTCAGCTGAAAAAGAAAGCAGATTCAAGTCTCTGTCTGTAACTTTGTTTGTGGGAGAAGGGAATTACTTTTTCGCTAACCTTATTTCTGTTGAATAGTATTGTAAATAATGGACTTTAACAAAGATCAAGCACGTCTGCTGTATCAGGTGGATAAGGTCACATATACTTGCTTTGAAGAATCCAGCAGACTCTTTTTGGCAAAAACTGAGAACTGAAAATTTTACATTTGGTTTCTTCACCAGTCCCCCTCTAAGTTCAGACCATCTTGCATTGCATAGGGAAGGATCCATCACAAAAGAAGAAAACAGAAACTGTTGTGGATTGATAATAGCTGTCTGTCTTGAAGTGGTGCTTCTAGTTGGTAACTTCTTGTTTCATTTGAGTTTGAACCAAGAGCAGGGATTCTCCTTCGCTTCCAAAAAATAGTACAGTTCCCTTTAACTGCCACAGTAAGTTAGTTTTATGAAAGGAGGAAAATATATTTGCACAGGAAGAAGAAACTAGTGACAGCTTTCCTTGGGAAAAAATGAAGAAGCTTACTAAGGATGTAGTATTGATCTTTATTTTTTTGCTTTCTAATTTTAATGTACAGAAATGAGCAACATGGAACTGGTGAAAAAAATAGCAGGTGCTTGGAAGGAGTTACCAGCATCACAGAAGCAGGTAAGTTTGTATCTCTGCCCTGTGTACTTTGAACTCTATAGAATCTTAGTGGTTTTTCACTCGGTTTGGTGTGCTCTGTGCATTTTTGGTTTCTGTTATGGTTTTTTTATTGTTGTTGTTCGTAAAAAAAAAAAAAAAGCACTTGCGTACAAATTCTGAAGAGAATTGGGAGCTTTGAAGTACTCAGGGCAATATACTTTGATACTTCTCCAACATGACCTTGGTTTTAGCATTTTTAATCTGTTACCAGAAAAGTGAATGAGACAGATCTTCCTCTGTGCAGCTGTAAGGCTGGGAACCAATATCTAATTTGTTTTTGAATGATAATTGTGTATGCGTGTTACATGACATGTTTATTACGTGTATAAACATAAGTATTGGTAAAGTTGTTCTGCTTTCACGTGGCTCTATGTGCACTAGTATACAATATGCCTTTTCATTTGTGTGTCTGAAACGGAGAAAACAGGATGGTGATTTTTTTGGTCTACCTGTCTGCTTGGTAGCCTGGATCAGGTCCTCTTGGTGCCCTGGAACCAAGGCCATGATTTTCTGATGCCTCTGTACCTAATATTGGCTGATGTAGAAGTGTGTTTGGTGACTCGAGCACTTGGGTGCTGCAATGGGTATACACAGTTCAAGAGTAATCATTTGAACCAAGCTTCAGCTTTTCTTCCTTGTGTGGAAGATTATTATTGCTTTGAGCTGCATCTGAGGATTTGTCCAAATTAACTGAGATAATTCATGGGAAGAGCCCAGATTTTGAATCTGAGGAGTTCTGAATCCATTCTGCTGATCAAACAGATCAGAAATTGCTACTTTTCTTTAAATATGGTATGTTCCAGGATAGTCTGTATTTTTTTTAATTAATGGGTTAGAAGTGTTAGCTTGTTTGATGGTCAAGTGCTTCAGAATGAAAGCGTCTATTTAAGGATGTGATTGTTTACGTTGCAGGTTTATGAGGAAGCTAGAAAAATGGACATGCAAAGGTATGAAGAGCAGTTGGCCGCATATAAAGCACAGCTAACTCCAGCCCAGGCTGCGGCTTTGAAAGAAGAAAAGAGAAAACGGCTGGCAAAAAGAAGATCCTTCAGGGCAAAAAGAGTAAGTATTTTGAAGGTCAAGTTCATTTTCTCTCAAGGAACCTGAAGTCTTGTTTGTCTAGTATACAGAGCAGAGTTGAGACATGTTTAGAAATATAAAAGCAACTCTCAGAACTAAAAACAAAACAAAACCCACAAAACAGAACCCCATGGATTAAAATTGCTGGTGTTAGCAGGTTTTTTTGTGGCTTTCCTGTGCTTGAAGACCAGAACTAGCACATATCTTTATGCTTATGGGTAGCTTCTTTGTGCTTTTGACATCTTATTCTTAAAACTGCCTGAGGAATGATAGCTAATAAAAGACATTTGAACCAGCAACACATTCTTTGGTTGGGAACACATCGAGAAATAGGTTTTCACAAAGGCCTTCTATCTGCTACTTCAGTGGCCCCTACAAGGTGGTAGGTGCTTGAAGGAGCCTTTTTTCCTTCCTTTCTTGGGATACTGCCACTTTGCTACCTGTGTGGCTGCTGACATGTTGAATTAGGCCTCCACAGATGCATGTCTGTCAGCGTCCTTTATTGACTGATACAGATCATCTTCCCTATTTCCTTTTAGCTGGTTCATAAAGAAATCCTGAGACAGAACCATCTGTAAAGGTACAATATTATGGTTTGTCCCATGGCAAAATCAGTTGAAGGGGTTACGTAGTGCTTGTTCATTTCTGTGAGTTAAACTGCTGATGTGACATTTCGCTAATTGGTAAAAGTGCAATTAATTTGGTTTAAAAGACCCTCTACTTAGAGGAACTTTTAAATCCAAGTGATTATGCTGATACTTTTTAGAGTATGGCACCACAAGGAATTTAGCTGACATACCTAGTACCTAAGGAGATATTAATTTGCAGCACCCAGGCTGCAGCGGACATGTCTTAGGGCTGGAGAAAACAACAAGTGTAATTGCACCCAGAGCTTGCCATCATCCCTGTAGGCAAAGAATTCTGATAGCAGAAACCTAGTTCTGTTTCCCTGGAACTCTGCTGACTCTGTTCCACTTTCTCACCTCCCACAAAGCTGGGTGTCTGCCCTCCTCTCTGCAAACACACAGTATTTCACACCAGAAACCAAAGCATTATGAAGATAATTGAAAACCTGTTGTCATGGCTTTCTTACTAAGTGCAATTTAGTAACAGTCTTTGGTTTCTGGAAGATTTAGCTGCAGTAAGAATCAGTTTAAAATGCTTTTTTTTAAATGTCTGTGAGAATTCAAGTTGTTAGCTTTCCTTAGTTTAGCACTAGTCTTGACAAGTGGTGAAAGCATTTTGAGATACAGTCCAGTTTACAGAAAAAATCACCAAAAAATTATTTTGAGTCTCATTTTTTTGTAAAATGTAAAGACGAATTGTAGGTTTATTTTTGGAAAAATGTATGCTTGGTAGATTGAATAGCTTTTGTTGTTGTTTTTAAAGGAATTGACGGTGCTTGGAAAACCTAAAAGACCTCGTAGCGGCTTTAACATTTTCGTGTCAGAAAACTTTCAAGAAAGTGAGGGAGTTTCACCTGCGGTAAGACAGGAAAGATTGTTCTTGAAAATAGCTGTGTTCTGTTCAGAAAATTTGTTTTAGATTCTGACATTTTCAGAGAAGCTGTTCAGTAGCTCAGTATCCGGATTTTGCTTTGCTTGGGTTATTTTTTTTAGGCTGGGGTAATCAGGTTATACTGCTGGTGGCATGTTCTGTATGCTGTGTGGGTATACAGACTTAAAATATTTGCGCTATTGCAAGGCAAAATACTCCTTAGTGGTACAATTTTTTTATTTTTTTTTTTTATTATTTTTTTTATAAAGCCCATGTGACTCTGCTTTTTTACATTGATTTGTACTTGGTTTTCACTAGTGTGACATGCATCTGTAACCCTCTGTGGTCAGTCTGCTGTTAAAATAATCCTCATGTATTGTGTATTCTATATCCTGTAGGCAAAGCTGAAGAAATTGTTTGATGCATGGCAAAAACTCTCCAGTTCTCAAAAGCAGGTATGTCTGTGGATTTTGATGAGGCTCTGATCTAATTGGAAAATTACAAACTTGAGTAAAAAGTAATTAATTAATTAATGCGAAATCTTGAACTCGGTTGCTCAAAATATAATACTGAGGAAAATACTCTGAGATCTTATTTATGTGTCTTGAAAAAGATTGTCATTACCTTTATTGCATTAGTCACCATTTGTTTCACAGTGCTGAGGAAATGTGAGTGAGTAGGATAGGATGGAGGTTCTGTGTGCCTGGAAATGGATGCTGACTGGCATCTAGGAATAATTTGCAACAATTTGATTTTTTTCTAGTAACATGTAATATTTTTAAATGCCAGCATAGTAATTTGCTGCTCATGGAAAGACTTTTGACAGGTAAAAGCACCAGAAATCTACATGTGATGTGCACACAGTAATTTGTTAAGCTTGGTTGTCTTGGAGATAGTTTTCTGCTGTCTTTGTTGGTGTATTGAAGTGTGAAGGTGCAGATGGGCATAGGAAAATTGGAGGGGTGCTATACTGAAATCTAGTCTGGATCTCCAGGTTTTCAGGTATTCTGTATCTTACTGTCCTTCCTACTGAATGCCCTTCTTCCAGACTGTTTTGAATGTGTACTTAGAACATTCACTATGTTCATGTTTTTTCTGTAGAAAAAGAACTTGAAATAGTTTTGCAGAAATACCTATTGCTGTTCCTTACGTAAGCCAGCTTTCTCAAACTAGTATTCAAACAAAAAACCTTAGCTGTTACTAGTAGTATTGAATAAACTTCCTCTTCAGGAATGGCCGTCTGTTGGCATAACCATAACTCAGTGATAAGGTTTTGTAGTTTTGTGCAAGTTCAATGTTTTTTGAGTTTTCTGGAGGCGAAAACGCCTGGGATGTGCACTGCCCAGGTCTTGTTCTAAGTCACTTTTGTATCAAAGGGGAGGATGTGTCATGGCAGTTATCCTGACAAAGCCACTTCTGTAACTGTTGATACGTAATTCGCTTCCAGCCATACCTGCAGCTTGCTGAAGATGATAAGGTTCGGTATAAAAATGAAATGAAGTCATGGGAAGCAAAAATGGTTGAACTCGGACGTGAAGACCTGACACGTGCCAGAAAGCAAAGGTCAAAAAAGAAAACTGCTGAAACTGCAAAGAAAGGTGAAACAGCCAAAGCTTCCTCACGTAAAAACAAGACAAAATTAAAGTTGAAAAAATCAGAAGAATAAAAAGGTTAGGTATTTTATCTTTAATGCCCTTTGGTTGTCATGTCCACCCTGCTGTGTTAATGCTGTGCAGTCAGCATTAGCACTGAAATTTGTAAAACCCATAAAGGGCCCACTGGAAAAGTAGAAAAGGTGATCAGGTAAGCGAGGATTCAGTGTCTCTCGGAACTGAGTGAAATAATCATTGCAGGTGTAGCCTGAACTGTACAATAGCAACCGGTTAATCAAGCTGTGAATAGTGATAATCACTGACATCAGCAGAGCTCTCCAATAATGGTAGATAACAGCCAGCTTTTATAAGATATCTTCTATGAAAGCAAGAATATTCTACAACGTTACCATCTAAATGCTGTAAATAAGAACTGAAATATGAGTTAGTGCTACTGTGTTTTATTCCTTCCGTGATATTGGTAGTGAAATGTTCTACATTTCAACAAAAGGCACAAGAAATGTAAAATACTAACTTTTATTTTATGCATCTGTCTTTTTGTACGTATCAACCTGTGTCTTCCACTTATGTTGCATTCAATTAAAAGACTATATGAGTTTTGTATAAACACCTTTATTGGACTTTTATTCCATGGTTTATGTTTGGATACATTCAAATACGTTTGCCATCCTGTTGTCTTATTTGGGGCAGCCTGGAAGGTAAAGAAAATCTGTGAACTGCTAGAACTTTGGGTTTTGATGTAATAAAGACAGGTACTTTGAAGCTGCTTGGCTTTTTTTCCTGGGGTCTGTGTCTCTTTGGTTACTTTGGAGAATCTGTGTTTTTAGAGGGAAGGTGAGCTCTTTCAGTAGTCGATGGTAACTGTAT